ACAGAGTAACCAGCTGAAAACCAGCATGATAGTGAGTCTCTTATACAATTCTATTGTCTGTAGGAGGTTCCTTACCTTCATTGTACGGTACTGGATTGCCAATATTTGCACCAACCACATCAGCTGTTTTCAGAACATCTAAATCCATCAATATAATCACTCTCCTACAAACACAAAGCAAGCAACAGTAAAGACTCTTGACATCTTCCTGGACACTTCTCGAGAGAGAAGCCCATATACAGCCCTAGGCTATAAATGAGTCTTTTGCATACACACAGGCACTGCAATCACTACAGAAGACAGATTTCCTGCTGAGGCACTGTCAAGAAGAAACACTCCATTATCAACTAGAGATTTAACAATTTAGTAAATGCAGGTAGAAGTGGTGTAGATTGAAACAATACAGCACTTAATCAGGAAGAGTAGACAGCCATCAGAATGATGCACATGATGTTGAGATGTAGTGATACAGTCAACATTATTGTCGGAGCACATAAAATGTGCTAGATCCCTTACAACTCTGTCCCAAATGGCATAAAACTAAATACAAGTGAGTGTCAAATAGAAAAGGTGGACTGGGGAGAAAGACAGTGACAGCAAAAGTTCACACAGTTACACATTCATGCATGTACACAATCTTGAAGGTTTGTTACCGTACCTTAATTTGCAATAGAAAGTTCAAGTACTTTACCATCTGAATACAAAACCAACCACCACCAGGGCATGTCCTCATTCACACCCTCACCCACAGCAAGTAATTTTCAGTGACTGAAATCTAATGATTACAGAGTTGGATGCATTTTATCCAGTTATATCCATTTAATTACTACACAGATATTAATATTTGCAACTAACCACATTGCACCCAGGTACAGCAACTTTTATCTCTGCAACCCTCGAACAGCCATCACGATTACATGATGTGTCAGGAGAAACACATGCCTCCTCCCTCATGCACCATACACCTATTAATAATCTCAGAACAACAGCAGTTGACCTCTCATCCTGTATGTGAGATGCAGCAGCATCCACTAGTCAGATGCATTTGTGTGCCCATATCTAAATATACATGTATACCTTCCATCTTTCAGGCTGTTAACAATGTATCTGTTAACCTGGCAGATACAGTGGGCAGACAAGCGCTCCTCTTCAATTAGAGAGTTCAGCTGTGTAGCCAACATGAAAGCTGCAAAAAACAGAAGAAAAACCCTAAAACAACCAGCATATGCAGCCCTGAAAAGATGGCCATCATAGCTAACTGCAGTCAATCCATCTGGCCACTGGTCCTGCATAGATTTAAGGCCTGCCCCATTAATCATCTCACACAAACCAGTGCAATCACAAGTGAGAAAGTGTGAATATATCTCTGGAACATAAATCACTTATTAACTCCCTAAAGTTTGAGAACAGAATACAACACCCTTGCAATGATATTTTGCCTTGTAGCCCAACCCACTGAAGTAAAATTTATGCAGCAAATTAGAAAGATAGATTAAGATGAGCTGCTAAATGGTTCTTGGACCTCACCACTATTATGATAGTCCGTTAATCACCGTTCTGTATGACTGAGCTGTTCTCCATAATTAACATGAATTCTTGGACACACTGCAACAACTCAGAAAAGCTGGATTTTGTTTGTAAGATTAAAATACAATTATAGATCCCAGAATCTAAATGAATTTAAATAAATAAATTCTATAGCCTTCACACACTCCTTTGGAACTTAGTTCAGCAGCAAAAACCACTCTGTCATTAATTCCGACAATTGGATGCAGTTATTAGCCATGCACTTGTAAATTCTCATCACTATGCATTACTTACAGGAAAGTGTGTTCACCCCATCGCTCATCAGCACACGGTAACGAGGTGGCCCATTTCCTGTGGCTATGGCACGGATGTTCTAGAAGAAAACACTTGAATTCTTAGCCCTTATCTGATTTTATAGGCACACAGAGACAAAGTATGAGATCACACCTATTGGGGAGAGCTTACTCATAAAGCAGAAAACTAAGATAGACAGATAACAATCAATTAAAGCCAATCTCAGACGGACTAAAACATGCTTGCTCAGATTCATGCCAACGAGCCTTTCAGTGCTCCTTTGCTCACCTACAAGGCTTCCACCTCTTCATGTCTGAATTGGATTGTAAACTCATGGGAGGGGAGTTGTCAGGCACCTTATCTTTATGGACTCATAGATCAGCATGTACAATTATAAGTACACTAAGCTACGGATAATAGGAATAAAATAACACTTGAGGGAATACTCACAATGACTTGGAGGACAGGCTTTAAATTATTCTCTCCCTGCATTATGGCCTATAAAGGAAGATAGAGGATTTAATCCTTTTGATTGGAAAACATTTTTAGAGCTTTGTGACTGAGGAGATTAGCCAACAAATAACTGGACTAATTATAATAAACTGTTCCCAAAACAGGGAATCAAACTTGGTTAGTGTGCCAACAGCGTGAACATCCTCAAAATTTCTATTCATTGTATAAGCGCATCCTGATACAAGGAAAAGGACAGACCATTTGTTGAGAGAAGCATTTCACCTCAGAAATCCCTGCTCTTTATGGGAAGTGACAGGCTGATTTACTAGTTCATCAATTCTCACACAGTTGCCTGTTGAGCATTTTCAGGCAGCCGATGGAGCTGCTGCAAGTAGTTATACTTCCTACAAATTGTAACTTAGCCAAGGAACCTAGAGTTCCCAAAGAGTTCAACTATTTTTTTTAAAGTCCATCTCTTCCCTTTCCACATGTTTCTCTGTTTGTCAGGGGTGGGCAAACTTTTTGGCCCGAGGGCCACATCTGGATATGGAATTTGTATGGCGAGTCATGAATGCTCATGAAATTGGGGGTTGGGGTGCAGGAGGGGGTGAGGGCTCCGGCTGATAAGTTGGGGGTGCAGGAGGGTGCTCTGGGCTGGAACCAAGGGGTTTGGAGGGTGGGAGGGGGATCAGGGCTGGGACAGGAGGTTGAGGCATGGGAAGGGATCAGGAGTGTAGGCTCCAGGCACATTTACCTCAAGCAGCTCCCAGAAACAGCAGCATGTCCCCTCTCCATCTCCTATGCAGAGGCACAGCTAGGTGGCTCTGCGCACTGCCCCATCCAGAGGTGCTGCCCCTGCAGCTCTCATTGGCCATGGTTCCCGGCCAATGGGAGTTGCGGGGGCGGCAGTTGGGGAGGAGGCAGTGTGCAGAACCCTCTGGCTGCCCCTACATGTAGGTGCCAGAGGGGGGTACATGCCACTGCTTCTGGGAGCCTACAGAGCCACGGCACATGCAGAGGGGGGAAAGCCCCAGACCCCGCTCCCCAGGAGATTGAGGGCCAGATTAAAGTGTCTGAAGGGCCAGATGTGGCCCCTGGGCTGTAATCTGCCCACCCCTGCTCTTTGTTGCGTATTTCTCCGGTGTTGAATTCAAGTGTGATCAAATTGGCAAAATACCAGAACTGGAGTAGTAGTAAACACGCAGGCACAGAACCAGACCGCAAACAGTACCCAAGAGTTGGGGCAGAGCGTGCTATGGGTAATTTATTTTTTGTTATACTTTGTAGGGTTGTTGCTCACTCTCTTTTGCTCATTTAACCAATTGTCAGAGGTGTGCTGAACAGATGACAAGCACTCCCTTCTAACTTTATAAACCTCAAAAATAATAGGAGTGAAATTACGGACAGGCAGCAAGAATAAAAAGCTCAGATACAGAAAGGCGGGGTTATAACTAGCCAGCTGCTCCACCACTTTAAGGAAGATAGAAATCCACAGCCAGGCAGATACTATCCAGTTATAACTTCAGGGCCAGAAAGGGAGGTATGTGCGCCAAGGACCACTGAGGAAGTGGCCATGGAGTGAAAGAATGTAACAACCCAGGGGCGTAGTGAAGGGGCTCTCAAACTGGGGGTCATGACCCCCCCGAGGAGTTTACTATGTGGGGGTCATGAGCTGTCAGTCTCCACCCCAAACCCCACTTTGCCTCCAGCATTTATAGTAGTGTTTCATATAAAAGAATTGTTTTTAATTTACAAGGGGAGGACGCACTCCGAGGCTTGCTGTAAAGGTCACCAGTATAACAGCTTGAGAACCGGAACGAAAGCAGGTCCAGCACAGGCGCCGACTCCGTGGGTGCTCCGGGGCTGGAGCCCCCACGGGGAAAAACTGGTGAGTGCCCCCCCCCCGCCCCGCCCCGGCTCCTCTGTGCGCCCCCCGCCCCGGCCCGCCCCGCCCCGGCCCCCCTGAGCGCGCCGCCCCCCCGCCCCGCCCCGCCCCGCCCCGGCCCCCCTGAGCGCGCCCCCCCCCCCCCGCCCCGCCCCGGCCTCCGCCCTCCGCCCCCCGCCCCGGCCCCCCCGCCCCCCCCCGGCCCCCCTGAGCGCGAAGCGGTGGCGAGCGCCGGGAGGGAGGGGGTGGGGCGGGGATTTGGGGAGGGGTCCAATGGGGGCGGGGGGAGTGGAATTGAGGCAGTGACTTTGGGGGCAGGGACGGAGGGCGCGGGCACCCCCCGGCGCCATGAGGAGCTGGCGCCTCTGAGGGCCGGAGCGGGGTGAAGGGGCCCGTCCGGCCGCTTCCGAGAGCAGTTACTCCCCGCGGCGCCGTGCGCTACCCTGCCTAGCCTCTGGGGGGCCACAGCACACAGGGGCCCCTGCCCCCCGAGCACTGACCACGCCCATCTCGCCCCCCGCTCCCGCGGGGCCCAGCCCCCACTCCTTCCCACGGGAGGAGGTGGAACCGCAGCGCGGCCGGGCGGGCTCAGGGCAGGCCGGGCGCCCGCTCCCCCGAAGCTCCTCACCGCGATGGCCCCCTCGCTCAGCCGCGCGCTCATGGTGCGTAGCCTCCCCGACCGCGACCTCTTCGCACTCCCGCCAAACCCTCTCTTGCCGCTCAGCCGTCGCGCGACGCCACCCCCTCAGCACGTGTAGACGTCACCGGTGCGACACCCGCTATTGGCTGGCGTGCTCCGTACGGCGGAAATGATTCTCCGGCCTGTCGTCTGTGTGCGCCGCCATGGGCGCCTCCTGACTGACTGCGAGTCCCGCGGCTGAGGAGCGTGACGGAGAGAGCCCCGCCGGGCGGCGCTGAGCAGGCAGGGCCGTGTAGCCGTCTCGGGGCTGGGTGCGGGCCGGGGGGAGCTCAGCGGCCCGTGTCTCCAGGCGCGGGAGGGGTCCGTGCGCTGCCCGGCCCTGTCTCCCGGGCTGCTGTGAGCGTCGGGCGCCGGGGCCCGGTGGGGCCCGGTGGGGCCCGGACTCGCTCCCTCGCCCACCCCACCCCACCCCGCCGCGGCGGCGACGCACGGAGGCGGCCGCGGCCCCGCTGCTCCTGACCCCGCTGCTGCCAGCTCGCAGGGCGGCTCTGTCCAGCCGGGGTCTTCCCGCCATGGATCTGCCCGCGGAGAAGTGGAAGGCGCACGCCCGTCGGAGGTGGGCCTCGCTGGAGCCCGGCCTGCGGGAGCAGCTGTCTCTGGCCGTGCCGCCTCGGGACACCTTCCTCCTCTGCCTGCCTCTCTTCCAGTGAGTAGCCGCCCGCCACCCCGCCCGCGGCGCTGCCCGGCCCGGCCCGGCCCGTGTGGCCGCCGGCCCGTGACGCCGAGCTTTCCGTCTCCCCGCAGAGCCGCGGACGAAGAACTTTTGCGCAGACTGGCGCTCAGTAACGGGGTGGGAAAGGATCCGAGAGCTGCCCTTTTCTACAAGCAGGAGGGGAACAAGAGGTTTCAGGAAAGGGAATACGCGGCTGCACGAGTCCTCTATTCCAAGGTAGAGGTTCCCAGTCGTTCACGCCGATGGAAACACGGGTGCTTTGAGGGCACTTCAGCCTCAGTTCATCTCCCGGTAGGCGGGTTTGATGTGGGGATAACTGCACTGGGACTCCCCAGGCATGCTGAGGTGTTTGTGGCTGTTGTGACAGATGTCTAATGCGGTTGCGTACGGTGAGCAAGGAAACGGCATTCTGCGGCGCCCTCGGGTAGAACAGTCATGAGAAGTTTCGTTCTGCGCGTACCCTGCATGTAGCCGGTCAGTCTTCTCTCGTAACGGCTGTAACCTGACCACGTGTTAGTCCCAATTCTGCTCTGCGCTTGGCCAAGCCACTGGTTGCTCTTTGCTCAGTCTGGAAAGGTACTAGCAGTTTCAACTCCCAGTGATTTTCACAGGAGCTGAGAATGCTCTGCACCATTCAGGATTGGATCTATGATCTCTGTGTTCTCTAGTTTCTATATATGCAAAATTAAAACATATAACACTCACAAAAACACTCACAAGGGTGTTGAGGCTTAATTTATAGGCTTCTGTACAGCGTATTCACAAAAAGAAAAGGAGTACTAGTGGCACCTGAGAGACTAACCAATTTATTTGAGCATGAGCTTTCGTGAGCTACAGCTCACTTCATCGGATGGAACTTCAGCTGTAGCTCACAAAAGCTTCTGCTCAAATAAATTGGTTAGTCTCTCAGGTGCCACTAGTACTCCTTTTCTTTTTGCGAATACAGACTAATACGGCTGCTACTCTGAAACCTGTATATTGTGATCCTTGGATGGAAGACTCTAGAGAAGGGCAAATTATTATGATTGATAGATTTTTAAAGCCAGAAAGGGCCTTTCTAATCATCTAATCTGACCTCCTACAGAACACAGGCCATAGAACTTCATCCAGTAATTCCTACATCAAATACATTCTTTGTGATTAAGCTATAGTGTGTCTTTAAAAAGACATCCAGTTTTGGTTTAAAGATTTCAAGTGATGGAAAATCCACCATGTCCTTAGGCAAATTGTTCCAGTGGTTGGTTGATCTCTCTGTTAAAATTTTGCAATGTGTTTCAAGTCTGAATTTAGTCTAACAGAAAAAGGCATAATGAAGTGTTCGTGTGCAAGTACTTATAGACTGTGATTGAGTCATCTTTTAACCATATAGTAACTAAATAGTTTGAGCTTCTTAAGTCTTTTGCTGTAAGGCAGGATTTTCAGAACTTGAGTAATAATTTTTCCATTTTCTGAATCCTCTCCAATTTATCAACATCTCTCTTTGAAGAGTAGGCATCAAAATCAGGAATACTATTCCAGTAATGGATTAACTAATGTAATCTACAGAGATAAACTACCTCCCTGCTCCTCTGTATTCCCCTGTTTATATATCCAAGAATCTCACAAGCCCTCCTAACCCTGTTATGATGTGGAATAAAGGTGGAAAAGGTCAAGATAAGCAAGATTGGGAATGAAAATCTCCAGTACACTAATCCAGTGGTTGGCACATAACAGGTTGAATTGACTCTTTACCCCACTACTCTCCCTTTCCCAGCCCTGACCACGCACATTTCATGTCCCAGAACCCAAGCTGCCCATAGAACATATACCAGTCACTCTTTCTCAATGTGCCAACTACTCTTTTTGGTCTTTGCAGGCAGTGTCCCACAACAGCCCAGAAATGTCATTGTGTTATGCCAATCGCTCTGCAGCCCTCTTTCACTTGGGTCAGTTTGAGGTAAGTCCTAGATTTGACAGAATCAAGGACAACCCAGCAGCTATTCATTTTGAAAACTGGGTATAGAGAATCTGGTAATGGCAGTGAAGTTTTTGCAGCTATTCAATTGTGTTTTATATGCTGTGCCACAACTTCAAAAAAGTGGCATGCTTTGTGTTTCTGAAGGTGCCAGCACTGCGTAATCCCCCTATATGTTGCCCAAAAGACAGCAGCAGTTGGGCTAGTTGAAGGTGTTAAAATGAAGTGCCACTAAATTGGAAAAAGCCATACCTCCGTGGGAGACCATTGCTCAACATTGTGTGCTCTTGGTTCAAAATAGCCTAAGATGGCATTTGGGGATGGCTAGAGTAGGATTTCTCTTTTGGAACCTGAGCAGTGGGTGATATTAATCTGGTTTGTAATGTGTTCTTGCTGCTGTTTTTGTAATGGTTTTTATGATATAGTTTTAGTGGATGATAAGGGTGCCTAGGACTTGGTGTTGTGTCCTTTGCTCTTTATATAGCAAACATAATGTGAAGCAAGCACACTGGCACAGTGAAGTCCATATCACCATATTTACTAACTGTATACAACATGCAGTGCCTACCTACATTTATACACTGCTGCTCTGCATTCCAGTAGCTTTTAAAACCTAGAAGAGAGGGAAAGCCAGTAGAGGTCTTACTAACTAATTAAAGCTATATTATCCAAGCCCTGTACACTAGACCTAGGATAGGTGTTCTTGTGTTTATTTAAATCCAAATTAAGATGACTAAAGAACAAAGTTTAAATACCAGAACAAGAGGCTGTGGTCCGATATGGTTTTAAAACTGCTTCAAACTGCAGGTGCCTTTCTGAATTCCTGCGGAGTCTCTTCACCCTTTCTCTCTGTGGGATGGTCTCACTTTTAAAGTGGCAGCACTGTATAAGACTTTATTGTGACCCCTGTTCAGTCATGGACCAGAAACTTAGTTAATGCAGTTCTAAATAAATGAAATGTGCCCAATCTCAGATGAGGCAGAAGAGTAAAAATCTTTCAGGCATTTTTCAAAGTCATTTAAAACGTCTCTTGTATTCGCTTCCAGGATTGTCTGGAAGACATTGACAGGGCTCAAGCCCAGGGCTATCCAGACAGATTGCAGCCTAAGATCTTGCTGCGGAAAACTGAGTGTCTGCTTCTTCTGGGAAGATTACAGGAGGCAGCAGGGGTCATCAGCAAGGTGGAGAGTAAAATAGCTATGGATCAGAGTCTGACTAGTACCACACGCCAGATTTTGCTAAGAAAAATCAGCCAACTTAAAGTGAAAGCACATGAGAAGGAGAGTAGCCCACTATCGGTGCCGGAAGCACTCAGCAAAACTCAAAAGGACTTGGAATTTTGGGAAGAAAATGGTAAAATTTCAAGTGCATCTTCATCTGTGAGCTTGAACTTTAACTCCTGCAAAGGACGTCATCTGGTTGCCACCAAAGATATTCTGCCAGGGGAGAACTTGGTGAAAGAGGAGGCCTTTGTAAGTGTGCTCAGCCCAGGGAAGGGTCTGTTGCTCCAGGACAGTGCTGAAACAACATGGGATACTAGGGTAACTAATGGGGACCTCCACTGTCATCGCTGCTTGAAGCAGCTCTTGGCTTCAGTGCCCTGCAGGGGGTGTAGCTATGCCAAGTACTGCAGCAAGAAGTGTGCACAGCTGGCATGGGAGCACTATCACAGTACAGAGTGCCCATTAGGGGCACTGCTGCTCACACTAGGGGTCTTCTCCCATGTTGCCTTAAGAACTGTTCTAGTGGCTGGATTTGCAGAGGTTAGCAGCTTAGTGAAGCAGTTTCATGGAGATGACAAGGAACTTTACAAGACTGAAGCCAGAGGTAAGAGTCTGGATGAGACACGAGATTCCACAGCTGGCATGGAGGGTCTCTCTGAGAAAGCAAAGCCTTTGATTCCTGGTTGTGAGGATGATGGACAGTACCAGGGTTCTTACCAAGCTGTCTTCAACCTTTTGACCCATGCTGAAAAGCACAGCCCTGAACACAAGTTCCTTTGCAGCCTGAGCATAATAGCCATATGCAAGAAACTGCTCGACACAGATCTGACCATTTTTAGTCAGGAGTCATGTGAGAGCCAGTCCAAACTGAAAGCACATGTGAAGTTGTCTGCTGAATTGTCTCCGGAGCTGAAGATTCTGGGAGAAGCAATGCTGAGGCATATGTTGCAGCTGCAATGTAATGCTCAAGCAGTGACTGCAATCTGGGAGTCAGGTCAGTGAGAATCTGTACTCTTCTCTCTTGTCCTCGTTGGATTGTCCTTTGGGAGGGATATAGTAAGTGGATGAGCACTCTTAAAGAGATCACACTGCACTCGGGTAAACTTTGTGTAAGTATCTTATCTCCCTAAAACCTCATAATCTCTTTTACAATGGAAACTTCCTTATTCTTTCCTAGTGGTATGCCCAGCATAGAATCATACAAATGTAGGGCTAGAAGTGACCTCAAGAAATCGTCAAGTCCAGCCCCCTGTGCTGCGACAGGACCAAGTAAACTTAGATCATCCCTGCCAGATGTTTGTCCAACCTGTTTTTAAAAACTTGCAACGATGGAGATATCACTACCTCCCTTGGAAGTCCATACCAGAGCTTTACTATCATTATAAGTGAAAAGTTTTTCCTGATATCTAACCTAAATCTCCAGGACTGCAGATTAAGCCCTTTATTCCTTGTCCTACCTTCATGGAGAACAATTGATCACCATCTCTTTATAACAGCCCTTAACATATGTGAAGACTGTTTTCAACACCCCACCCCACCACCCTTGCCAGTCTTCTTTTCTCAACTGAAAGACCATGTTTTTAACCTTTCCTTCTAAAAGGTTTAGAAAATCTGATTTGTCATTTTTATTGCTCTCCTCTGCACACTCTCCAATTTATCCACATCTTTCCTAAACTGTGGTACCCAGAAATGGACACAGTACTCCAGCTGGGGCCTAACCAGTGCCAATAAAGTGGGACAGTTACCGCCTGCATCTTATTCATAATGCTCCTGTATATACACCCTAGAAAGATACTAGCCTTTTTCACAGCTGCATCACATTGTGGACTCATTCAATTTGTAATCCATTATAACTCCCAGATTCTGTTCAACAGTACTACCAACTAGCCAGTTATTTCCCATTTTGTAGTTGTGCATTTGATTTTTCTTTCCTAAGTGGAGTACTTTGCACTTACCTTTATTAAATTTCATCTTGTTGAATTCAGACCAATTCTCCGATTTTTCAAGGTTGTTTTGAATTGTAATCCTGTCTTCTAAAGTACTTGCAACCACTCCCAGGTTGTTGTCATCTGCAAATTTTATAAGCATACTCTCCATTCTGTTATCCAAGTCCTTAATGAAAATATTGTATAGTACTGAATCCAGGACTGACCCCTGCAGAACCCCACTGGATACGCCCTCCCAGTTTGACAGTGAACCACTGATAACTACTCTGAGTACAGTCTTTCAGCCAATTTTGCACCCAGCTTATGATGATTTCATCTAGACCACATTTCCCTAGTTTGATAGATAACTAGGCTTGGAAGGATTAGATTTTTTTCAGCAAATATAAGTAAACATCAGTTTCACCATACACATAGAAACAAACAAAATACTTCTATCAAAATTTACAAATAGGGAAAGTAAGAAAAATGCTGCTTGAGAACTATTTTGATTTGAGTTTGATTTAAGGATATTTACTTTGTATATTTTCACATGGGATGTTGACAGTTGTGTTTTAACAGCTATAAAGCTTTAACTTTTTGAATCTCAATGTCTGCTGCCATTTAATGATTCTGACTCCCCCATAATTTCTCATAGCTGTGAAAATTTAAATTAATATAAATCGAAAAAATTGCTTATTACCCATAATTTTGCACACATGAACATTTAAATTGATAAAAATGGGGGGGGGGGGGGGAATGCTTAAAAATAGACACATCTATTGGCAGAATTAGATTATTTTTTATCTTTTTATAATGTCAAATATAATGACATTATAGAGTAGACCTTAGGGAATCTGCTCTTCGTTTGGATGCAGGGAGAAATGATTTGGATGCAAAGATTTCTAAATTTACAATTTTAAGTTCTGTTTTTAAAAATATTTCAGTTAAACAGCAGCTAAACCAAATATTTAAACTTAGTATTTGTATTATAGTAGCAGTCTAGAAGAATGGAACTTACCTTCAGCAGTCTAGAAACTCTTTGCTTTCCCTGTGGATTCAAATGGGGAGCTGATTACCCAAAACCATCTCCACATGGTCAGATTGTGAGCATGGCAGCTTTCAAATTTGTTTAGTAATTATTCTTTTATTATCACATTAAAACACCAAAAACCTTTTTTTTTGCTGCTGATGTTTTGCTGTGATTAGATTCAGTGCCTGGAATATAAGCAAAGTAGGTCACTAGGTCTGATTTCATGATGTATTTGGCCCTTTTTATGTTGTGTGGTCTTTAGAGTCCGGAGACAGCATTGTTGCAGATAGTGAGGAGGTGCGCCTGGCCACAGCCCTCTTCCCTGTCACCAGCCTCCTGAACCATTCCTGTGACCCTAATACTAGCGTGACTTTCAGTGGGACTGCTGTCACAGTCAGGGCATCGCAGCCAATCCCAAGAGGGCAAGAGATTTTCCATTGCTATGGTAAGTTGAAGTCCCTTTCAGGAATACATAGGGTACACAAGTGACCTTTCATCTCTGCAGTCCCTGCAGTATCATGGCCACAAGGGTAACATTTCCAAACATGTGTTTGGAGTTTGTCTCTGTTCTATCCACACATGCATGTGTGTGCACAACCCTGCATCAATGACCTCAGCATGAGACCTCCTACTCCTGCTGTTTATCTCTTACGGTCACTCTCTAGTTGCATCTCAAGATGTGGGACCCACAGTTTATAGCCCTGACATAGAGGCACTGGGCCACACCAACCCCTTCTTCAATCCCATTAATTTCACTGCAAGGCCTCCGATGTGGGTAGGAAATCCAAAATGTAATGAAGCCACAGATTAAATAGGTTTCAGAGTGGTAGCTGTGTTAGTCTATATCAGCAAAAAAAACCGAGGAGTACTTGTGGCACCTTAGAGACTAACAAATATACCCAAATACATTTGTTAGTCTCTAAGGTGCCACAAGTACTCCTCGGTTTTTTTTGCTGATACAGACTAACACAGCTACCACTCTGAAACCTAACAAATGTATTTGGGTATATTTGTTAGTCTCTAAGGTGCCACAAGTATTCCTTGTTTTTTTTTTACAGATTATATATTCCCTCTCAATCCATGGCAGGGTGGATTTTAGTCTGTAGTTAGGTATCCAACTTCCCTGCTTTCTTAATGTATCATCTCTTTGACTCATTATCATCCCTTTGTAGGGCCTCACCGATGCAGAATGAGGGCTGCTGAGAGGCAGCAACGGCTCCTTTGTCAGTATTTCTTTGAGTGTCAATGCCAGGCCTGCCTGGATGAGTTGGGGTCTGATGTCACAGGCATAGTAGCCACAACGGATATATTCTGCTGTTCCAGCTGCCATGCTTCAATGCAGGTAACTTTCATAATCACGTGTAACTTTTGAAATGTTAGTAAAACTAAATGTTCTCTGCACTCTGGCATTGTACTGTGAGGGGCAAGGTGGGGATCTGAGTCCAGGGCCCCTGCTCTTCGGACTAGGCAGAAGTGAGGGATGGTCTCGTTATTCTCTAGCAACCCTCTTGGAAGACTTGTACTTCTCCAGCCTGTCCAGAGGGAAAGGTTGCCATAATCAAGGGGTCCCACTCAAGTACTGTTTTCTCCCCACCCTCCTAATCTTCCAGATGTTTGGAAACCCCTTAATGTGTCTGCCTTGTGCCCTTGCTCTCAGTAATCCCTTCACAAAACCCACTTCTCAAGGAAGGTTTATAAACTAAAAACAGTCCTACTAGGGTCCTAATAGGATCTGCGCATTACTCTCTCTTGCAACCACAAGATCATATGATCTTTGGCCTAATCCTCCACCAGCCTCCTGGTGGTCTCTTTTCCTGTTGGTCGGTCTGGTCTTCAGATTGTAAGCTCTTAGGGTAGAGACTCTGTTTCATCTCTTTTTGTAAAATACCCTGCACAGCCATGTTGCTGTTTTAGAAGTTAAAAAACAACTGTAGAGCTATGAGCCCTCAAGAAAGAGGGAAGAGAAAGTGTGTATTTTCTGTGAAGATTAATTGGGTGGCCCATGCCCTATTTTGGCCGTATCTAAGTGGGCTCAGGCTGGCACCATTGCCAGGGCTACTCCTTCAGCTTTCTTCCAGAGATCTGAAGATATAACACCAGCACACAGACAGGCCCCTTTGTTTAAAGTGTGGCTGGGAAACAGTGCAATAGCCCTGTAATACACTATGGGGCGTAGAGATACACAACTCTATGCTTTCTGTGTGCAAAAATTATTGTAAAGGTGGCTTGGTCTAGATAATTTAGTTCTGCCTTGAGTGCAGGGGACTGGACTTGAAGACCTCTTGAGGTCCCTATGATTCTGTGACTTCCACAGGGGGAAGCTGTGCTTCGCTGTTCCAGTGGTGCTTGTACACTCTTGGTTGGCAGGGATTACCTCCTACACCAGTTATGGGACCTTCAGCTGCAAGTTAAAACAGCACTGGGACTTCTCCAAGACAACCAGCCCAGTAAGAGAGCCAGCCATCTGTCTTGGACGTTGTTCAGTTCATTACACAAGTAATCTTTATAGCAAGATCCTGATCCCAGCCACCAGATGGCAGTTTTGCCCAAGCATTTAGGTACTGCTGATATGAAGCTGGAATCCCTGGGAGCACAAGTGGTAGGCTGCTTATGCTGCTGATCAGACTGGGAGGCTAAATCTCATGTTTGCTCCACTGGAATATGAGGGAATTCAGGGAAATGTTGAAGGTTTGGGCCCAGACCCTATGTTCCAGAATGTCCCCCTGCCCCCTGTGACTCTGCATTAGGTCAGACAGGCTTCAGACTGAAATAGAAATGGTGACCCTAGATAATTCTGCAAGAACAACATATAAAGTCCAGGGCTAACTGCTCAAGGCTGGGGGGCAGGAATAGATGGACCCAATCTCACTTCATAGACCATGGCTAGCTGGCAACTGAAATGGGTTCATGTCTTGTGGAAAAGTGCTTTTGTTCCCTGGATTTGCAGATCAGGCTGTTGAGCTGCTGATGAGGTGCCGGATGGATGCAGAGAACTTCCTGTCTGCAGAGCACATGCTGGTGGGCGAGATTGAGGATCACCTGGCACAGGGTTATGCCACACTTGGTAAGATGTCTTCCTGTCGCCTCTGGGGTCATTTTTGTATGGCTGGCCTATTAATTCTAATGTCAGTAGAAGGAGATTCCCTGATTAGTCTGTTCCCTTTCTCACCTCCCTTCTCTTATTGCAGCCCACTAAACTGACATAGCGGAATCTTCTTAGGAATCTAGTTTTAGCCACAGTCTCTATTCCCAGCCAACAGGGACTGGCTGTGTGACCTTGTGTGCCTCAGTTTCCCACTCTGTACAATAAGGATAACACCCCTCTGTGAGTCTTAGTTCACTAAAGTTGTAAAGTCCTTTGAGTTCCTTCCAGTGGCTATAGAAAGGGAGCTATAATAATCCATTCTTTCTTTGGCCAGGAAAGTGGCAGGAAGCAGCGAAGCACCTGCAGCGCAGCATTCAAATTGTGGAAACTCGCCATGGACCGTCCAGTGTGGAAACAGGTCATGAACTCTTCAAACTGGCGCAAGTCCTCTTTAATGGGTAAAGAGCCCCATTCCCACTATCTCACCCTTCATTCTCCATCTCTTCCCTGCTTTAGTCCATGTCCTTGTGTCTCTGAGATGGGGATGTGGCAGGAAGTCCTGGGCATCATTAGTCCCTTTGCAAGATGTCTTCCAGGACTCCTGGATGTTCTGGCAAAGGGGAGACATCTGCCCTTTATCCAGGATGAGGTGGAGGCTGCGAAGTATTTGGATCAAATGAAAGTTTCCTTCAGTTGGCTAGGGGCTCCACAACCATCTTGTGTTCCTTTTGGCATCCTTCCTACCCATTCCTCTGTCCCACTCCTGTCCTATCATCCCCTTTCCTGTTACTGCTTCTCTGGCATCCCAGGTACCAGGGAGTGTTCAGGCCCCAGTACTACAGTGCTGCTGACACTTCCTTTTAAAGTGACAGTGTCCCAGACGCTTTCTCTTCTAACCCATTGGCCAGCAGATCTCATTACTTTTTTTGTAGACCCCTTTCTTATCATCAGTATTTCTGGTTTAACTGTCTCCCACCTTGGCAAGAGTGGCAATAAGATAATATGGCTGTTTTTCCAAGGGTGAAGCACTTTGAGTTCCCCTAGCTAAAACAGGGCATTTACCTGATAGTGATGGGATGCGGAGGGTGAGTCCTACCCATGTGATCAGGCACCTCTTCCTTCTTTCACTGAGACAGAAATTCCCTGAGCTGTCCTGGCTTAGGGGGAAATGGAGGAAAGGATGAAGGGTGCTGAATGAATGACTTCATCAAATGTGCTGTGGGAAGATTGTCCCCTAAATCTTTCTCTCATTTCTTCCCTCTGTACTTCAGGTTTGCAGTGTCTGAAGCTCTGTGCACAATTCAAAGAGCAGAGACAGTTTTGTCTGTGCACTGTGGCCCTCAGAATGCCCAGGTCCAGGAACTGCAGGAGATGAGAGCCTGTCTGCTGGAGCTGCCCAGAAACCTCCTTCACAGGGTTGAGTGACTAACAAAGGAAGCTGCCATGTGGCAGGGCAGCCATGCAAACAAGGCCTGGCTACAAGCTGGGTGAGCTCTGAAATGTCCCTAGGGAGGGCCAGGGAATCAAGCTGATCACTGCTGACATGGGAGAGGACACCACTGTGGTACTGACAGAAGGGCTGTCTCATAGAAATGAATGTTGCTGTAGAATTTCTTAACATGCTTTTGAGAGCCCATTATGTGTTTTTTCTGAAGTTGTGGTTCTTCCCTGGAGGGTTAAATGTTGGTCCTATGCACGCGCCCCCCCTCCCCCCATGCCCACAGTTTTCGAAAGCAAACAATAGTGGTGAAGTACTATTCACCTATTGCCTGCCATTCAGCACACCTATTCCTGCAAACATGAGAGACACGGGGCTGGAATGAGGCGGGCAGCAGGCCAGGAAATGTAGAGCCACAAGATGAAGGGGATGCAATAGAACTTAGGCCAGAACAGTGGGGCTCACCAGAGGGGACATATGGTGATGTTGGAGGAACTCTGGGAAACTGGTATGGGGACCCAATGCAAACTGAACCAGGGCCTGTGTCACAAGGGAGAACATTGCGGTGCTTTGAGATGTTCGTGGCAAAAGCTCTTTTATTGCAGCATGTAGGCATAAGATTTGCAAGTTAAAATCTGTGCAGCAGAGCAGGGACCCAGCATCCTTCCCAGTTACCCCAGCCTTTCTGGAGGACTCTAACGTTGCAGGCTGCTGTCCATGGAGCTAAGTGCTCCTGGGGTCCAGGATTTTGCCAATAAAAAGGAGGGTTCCCGTGACGTCATCCCGCAGCACAAATAGGAAAGGTCTGTCCAGATGGTAGTCAAGGGGGAAGGTCAGGCGAGCAGCATTCTCTACAGGGTTTGGTGTGGATCTTGCCCCATCTTCATTTAGTTCCAGGACTGCCTTGTGTTGCACATGAGAGAGCTTGGTGGATTTGGGAGAAATCTTGCTGAAGTCAGGTGATGTGAAGAGCGACTGGAGCCCTATGGGAAAGGAGGAAGATTCCATTAGCTAGGAAGAAGGGGCCTTCTGGGAGGGTGAGGAGACAGTGCTGCAGATTGGGGCAGTACTACTAGTGCTGTAGAGGAGAGGAGTCATAGGCAGGGTTGCCAACCCTCCAGGGTTGGCCTGGAGTTTCCAGGAATTAAAGATTGTCATGTGATGAAATCTCCAGGAATACATCCAACCAAAATTGGCAACCCTATTCATAGGGTCCATTGAGCTCATTGGGGGATGGTGGGAGTGGCCCCTAGGCAGAGCCTATATGAGAGATGGAAGCATGAGCTGCAGTTGTCAATGAAGTGCATAGATATGACAGCAGGACCTAGCTTGTGACAATTGACTGCTTGTTCTCAGGAAGCTGAAGGAAAGAGCAGCTCTGCTAACTGCTCTGAGCCCCGGCAGCCTGCAGAGGGCCATGCTGTGTACATACTCATTTCCTGCAGTGTGCTTCTAAGTGCCTCCTCAGAGCTCAGCTTCAGCCTGGGTATGCTCAGCGCAGCGTGAATTGTCTTCAGCTCCCTGTCAATGTCACGGACAAACTCTGAGGTGAGACTCTCCTCAATCAGGGTCATGTTCTGGGTCACCTTCTGTGGCAGGAAGAACATAGCACTGACACCGCCTGTTAGTGGTAGCTGTGCAATCTGGAAGGGTAGTAAAAAAAAAAGACAAGGAGTTATCTCTAAACACACCAGCAGAATCTCCCAGTGCCAGCTATGGTCTCTGAACCTTGGTTGGTTGGCCAGCCAGCCACTCCATCTACCAGGTTCTTCCTTCCCACCCTGCTTATCTGTTACACCACAAGTCCCCCTTGCCCCTCCACAATGCAGACTTCTGCCCTAAACCCTGTCCCTCCTGCTGTGAAAGGGAATGCAAAATCTCTCCTGTGAGAATCTGTACTGAATTGCAGTATTGCTGTGGGGCACCGTGGAATTCTCAGCTGGAACTTCTACCCCTATACTGATGCTGTGCTATGCACCGTCCCCAGTTCTGGGAGTCTGACCCACGGTCAGCCCTGCCTAACTCACTAGCAACGTTTCCAGCTATTTCAGGAGCAGTCTTGATTAATTCCCAGAAGCAGCACTTTCCCTCCCCTGTCAGAGGGAGGATGCTTACCAGGGGGGTGGAGCTCCACTAGGAACAGGCAGGAACACATAAAGCGAATAACTTGCCACTTTTTGAAAGGCAGTGAGTCAGAGAGAAACTTCTACAAGAGCCTGCCCTTCCCTGCAACCTATCACTTTCCTCCCTGCCCAGCTGGGGATGGCTGTACAGACTGGAAAGACGTTTGTGCTACTTAAAGATGTAGTTGCTTGCCATATGATCATGGGGATGTGGAGTTCTCTGAGAAAACCCAAAGCTCTCTGCCCTGGTGTACAATGTAAGCATAAGAGTTACAGGAGTTTGGTGGGAGGGGCAGAACTCACCCTCTAGTGGGGGGGAGCTAGTGAGTGAAGATGGATCTTTCCCTAGTCTTGGGCGAGGTTATTTTGCACAGGGACTACCGTCTCTTTCTTGCTCAGTCCTTCACCTGACCTTGCAGTTGAGTTCTGAGTCGAAGCCATATCGCAGTATGGCTTTGGGGTCCGACATCATGGGCACCTTCACAGATCGGTCTTCATCCAGGTGGAAGTCCTGCAGCGTAGTCTTTGTAGGGTCAAACTTGGTCTCCCACTGTCCTATTTTTAAAAATAAAACAGGAACGTTCAGGAATAATGGGAAAACCTAAGGCCTGGGTGTGTAGCCAGTGGAATGGTTTTGTGGTTTCATACATGAAATAGCCCTTCTTTAGGGGATTGGTCTTGGTAAGTGGAGGATGATAGAAGTGAGAGAGCCAGTTACTGGGATCAGCTATACTTGCAACTTTGTCTTATTGTTACTGTTGGCTCTCTAGTCCCTTCCATCCCATCTGAGGTTTAACCAGATTGGACACGAAGTCATCTGACATATGCTGGTTGGGTGGAGGAGCAGTTGGAGAGAGCTGATATTTTATTTATGTAATTATAAATACATAATTATTTTATACTTTATATGCACAAATACAAGTGGTACTGCTAATCTCCACCTACCCTTTGTGTATTTGCTCCTTGTCTTGACTTGTTAACTCTCCAGGCCAGGGACTGTGTCTGTACCCCTGTTCAGGGAGCACCCAGCACAACGTGGCCCTGAGCCCGACTAGGCCAATAGCTTCTCTTGTAATATAAATACTTGATGTCTGGATTCCCTAAAATGGCTCCCCAGTATCTCCTGTCCATGGAGAGGGGTGCTGTGGCAAGCACAGTCCCATCTGAACTCTTGATGAATCTCCTTCCATTGGGCAGGGCATTCTGTCTCTTTCATCCTTACAGGCTTTCATTTTCCTCCTTCCCTGACCCCTTTTTGCAAGCAGGTCAAGACTCAGCTTCCTGTGAGTAGTGACTCCTCCCCTGGGGAAGTTCTTTCCATGTTCATCAGGCATCTGTCCCACCTCCTTTACTAAACTCACAGTAGAGAATCTATATCTATGTGTTCAAAGAAGTTTCCTCCTGTCGCTCTGTCTTTCTGCCTACCTCTGTGGAGATAGAGGTGGTTAGGGACTATTTAGAAAAGCTGGACGTGCACAAGTCCATGGGGCCGGACGAGTTGCATCCGAGAGTGCTGAAGGAACTGGCGGCTATGATTGCAGAGCCATTGGCCATTATCTTTGAAAACTCGTGGCGAACCGGGGAAGTCCCGGATGACTGGAAAAAGGCTAATGTAGTGCCAATCTTTAAAAAAGGGAAGAAGGAGGATCCTGGGAACTACAGGCCAGTCAGCCTCACTTCAGTCCCTGGAAAAATCATGGAGCAGGTCCTCAAAGAATCAATCCTGAAGCACTTGCATGAGAGGAAAGTGATCAGGAACAGCCAGCATGGATTCACCAAGGGAAGGTCATGCCTGACTAATCTAATCGCCTTCTATGATGAGATTACTGGTTCTGTAGATGAAGGGAAAGCAGTGGATGTATTGTTTCTTGATTTTAGCAAAGCTTTTGACACGGTCTCCCACAGTATTCTTGTCAGCAAGTTAAGGAAGTATGGGCTGGATGAATGCACTACAAGGTGGGTAGAAAGCTGGCTAGATTGTCGGGCTCAACGGGTAGTGATCAATGGCTCCATGTCTAGTTGGCAGCCGGTATCAAGTGGAGAGCCCCAAGGGTCAGTCCTGGGGCCGGTTTTGTTCAATATCTTCATAAATGATCTGGAGGATGGTGTGGATTGCACTCTCAGCAAATTTGCGGATGATACTAAACTGGGAGGAGTGGTAGATACGCTGGAGGGGAGGGATAGGATACAGAAGGACCTAGACAAATTGGAGGATTGGGCCAAAAGAAATCTGATGAGGTTCAATAAGGATAAGTGCAGGGTCCTGCACTTAGGACGGAAGAACCCAATGCACAGCTACAGACTAGGGACCGAATGGCTAGGCAGCAGTTCTGCGGAAAAGGACCTAGGGGTGACAGTGGACGAGAAGCTGGATATGAGTCAGCAGTGTGCCCTTGTTGCCAAGAAGGCCAATGGCATTTTGGGATGTATAAGTAGGGGCATAGCGAGCAGATCGAGGGAAGTGATCGTTCCCCTCTATTCGACATTGGTGAGGCCTCATCTGGAGTACTGTGTCCAATTTTGGGCCCCACACTTCAAGAAGGATGTGGATAAATTGGAGAGAGTCCAGCGAAGGGCAACAAAAATGATTAGGGGTCTGGAACACATGAGTTATGAGGAGAGGCTGAGGGAGCTGGGATTGTTTAGCCTGCAGAAGAGAAGAATGAGGGGGGATTTGATAGCTGCTTTCAACTACCTGAAAGGGGGTTCCAAAGAGGATGGCTCTAGACTGTTCTCAATGGTATCAGATGACAGAACGAGGAGTAATGGTCTCAAGTTGCAGTGGGGGAGGTTTAGATTGGATATTAGGAAAAACTTTTTCACTAAGAGGGTGGTGAAACACTGGAATGCGTTACCTAGGGAGGTGGTAGAATCTCCTTCCTTAGAGGTTTTTAAGGTCAGGCTTGACAAAGCCCTGGCTGGGATGATTTAACTGGGAATTGGTCCTGCTTCGAGCAGGGGGTTGGACTAGATGACCTTCTGGGGTCCCTTCCAACCCTTATATTCTATGATTCTTCAGTGTGCTCTAGCCAGAAATTGACCTTCCCTCCTGTGTTTTCTGGCATGCAAATAGGAGAC